TTTAAGAAGTGCAAACTACGAACTCATTTATCCTGTCACGATTCATTTTTGCTGACACGAGGTTATAAAATTGAAATTCGTTTGTTGCATACCCGTAACAAGTAAAGTGCATTTAAAAGTTTAGTATTGTCACAAACGTTTTTACTAAAACGATTCAAGTTCTGATTTTGTTTCACCAAGTTGTAGTACAGGCAATATTTTACCCTGACTTTAATCGAATTTATAAGTTGGTTAAATATGAGTTAAATGAATAATTTAACAGCCGATGCCAAATGACAGCGGCTAATAAGATTTATTATCAAGTATTATTTTCACAATATTACCAGTTTACGTACTAAGAAGTTAATTTAAAGAACTAATGCTTTTAGGAATCATTAAATATCACTGTATTTGAAGTGTATTTAGTCAATGTACATCTATTAAATTATTGTTTAAAATTACTTAGAAAAAACAAATTATACTGTGCTATGAAAAGGTAACAAAAAATGCCCTAGAAAATACACTGACACAGAAGATAAAGGGTAAAGCAAAATTGGCGCTAACTCGAGTATCATGATCAGACAAACTGGAAGCGTTATCGTTTTGCTACCTAATATGGTTTGTAAATGCAATCAGATATTATAGTTATTTTTATTTCCACATTATTGCTTGTTATATGTCAGTTCCATTTATCTAGAGAAATTTTTCGCTAATACAGCATTCGGATCACGAAGTTAAAATATCAAATTATGAAGTTGTATTTTTAAAAGTTGATTATTTTTACTGCTCCCTCGAAACTTCAACTATAATTTCTAATTTAAAAAAATGTTTCAATTATACTAATTTCTCTCTACATTGAGCATTTAAAATGTAATCATTGAATGCAATGCTCCCTATTTAATAACTGCTCCCTACAGTTTATTTTATAGTATTTAGCTGACCTAAAATAACGGTTTCTATTGCATTTTAACTAATTTGTGCGTGCATTAAGCGAAGGCATTAATTGTAAAATAGTTGCGTGGACACATTGGTGACACGTGAACACGCATGTTCAATATTCATAAACAATTTTTAAACTCCGATTATATTCATTTTAAAACAACAGTGAAACTTTAAAGGTTTAATAAGATTATGAAGGAAAGTCTAATTACTTACTTAACTTTTACTTTTAGATAATAATTTTGGCATAATAACGACATTTAATACCGAGCCAAAAATTAAAAACTAAAATGAATCTCAGCTTAGTGACTACAAAGGACCTATCAAAAAACTACTTAATTATCCTTAATTATAAGTTCCGGGCGAAACTTTCCGTCATCCTAACGAATACAATTCTTCTTCCCAACTCTTCCTCCCCCAACGCCTTTAGGATTTTCCAGCTCACTATAATTAATTTACAACATTTTCAATTTTCGAAGTCACTTTCTTATCTGTCTGACTGAAAATCCTCCGATTTCGTTTCTCATGTTAAGACGTTTCAGCCGTTCTCGCGGACTTGCTCAACTTTATTATTTCTATTCATACTTTATGAGGATTGAAGACGAACTTTTCTTGCTTAAGTGCTCCGGCGTTATTTGCGAAAAAAGTTAGGGCACACACCAATCGATAAATAAACGGAAGTTATTACAGACTTTCTGGTGGCTGTTTGTTGTATTATGACAATGTAATGTGTTGAAGCTTTAGTATAGTTAGGTAAATTAACACGTTTTTCATCTGTATATTCCAACGATATTTTCGTCGTAAATATTTTACGATATCATCACAAACTTCGTGAACGCACACTACCAACTTACATAAATTCTACTGCAGTCATTTTAAAAAGTTATATAAAAGTTAACACCCTACGTTTGCGTTGCTCTACAGAGGCTACATCAGTTTCAACAGCAATTTGCAACTTCTGTGAAACAATATGCATATAATCAATGGGTTATAAAAAGTAGTTGAAAAACGAATACTAAAAATCCTTTGTAATACCTATCAGTAAAAAAAAAACAATCTTTAGTGAGAGAAAAACGAAAGTACGCGCGTAAAGGATCTTTTGTAATGCCACAGAAAATTTACATATCAACGATATTCGAAATCGCGGTGAAACCGAAAAGAGGAAATTGCTTTTAATAACTCGCGGACTTTTCGTTTTTAATCAGAATGCATGCTCGGGTGAAAAACGCCGGATAAATTTCCATACGCGCTGTCCCTGGGCGACTGTTGCGTGCCCGTAACGACGTATACAAGGGAACAGCGTCGCTCTATCGTGCAAAAGAGCAACGTCGCGACGCGTCGGCCCTCGACGTCGCTAATTTCAATAACTCTTTGTGTCCAATTAACAATTGAATAAGTCAGCGCCGACGCCATTGTATTGTGTAATTTAATTAAAGGGTGAAATTTGATTTCACGGTATTCCCGATTCGCGATTCGTTAAGTCGGACACGTGACGTTGCACGTTGCACGATGCACGTTCCTCTCGACAACTAGCCGGTAGGGAAGTCCTTGGGTTTCAAAGTAATCTGTTACCGGCACGCAAATGTCGACGACGCGCCGCAAACATTGCTCTAGTCATAGCCATTCGAAAAACGGCCTTTGATCATATAATTCCTGCTGGTGAATTATTTATATCGGAAGGGGATTTCCTTTAATATGCGGACGGTTTTTGTATGTTGTCACCTTTTCAGTTTGATCACGCACATGCATCGACTTCTTACTATAAATAATACATATTTATGATGGGAATTGTACATATTTTTTGCATCAATTATTACACTATGGCCCGGTTGCTCGTACGCGGATCAAAGTCAGATCAACTGATCTCGGATCAAAGTCGGATCAATAGTTAGTACTGGAATAGGGCGGCCCTTATTTGATCCCGATTTAATCCCGGCTTAATCCCGGATCAAAGTTGATCCGCGTACGAGCAACCGGGCCTAACTAAGGTAACTAGCTAATTCTTTGTAAATTTTATTAAAATTTCATCCCGGTTTTATTCTTTACAAAAAAGTTACTTTACCGTTATTTGCTTATTCAATAAAAAATTCGTGAAGCAATTAGACAACTTCAAAAACGTTTTATGTAATTAGCAGAAAATGCACCGAAATTGTTTTGTTATAGGACGGACGAATTTTTCCTTGAATGTGCTCAACATTTTAAAATAAGAGAAGTTGCGTTGCCACCGCAAACATTCAAAAGACTGTAAAAAATTAAATACCGGGAATGAAGAGGAGGAACATTAGGCTGTAAATGAATCCGAAATTGTTAACATTATAGTATACAAGTGCGGAAATATTTTGTAAGGAATGTAGACTTGATTCAACGTGATACTGTTACAAATTAAGGGAAATTAAATTAGTTTCAAAACGAGTTTCTAACAAAGGTATATGTATAAAACATATAATCATTATGCGGATGATTTTAAAAACCTAAACAACTAAGCAACTAAACTAGCACTAGTGACTAGAATGAACCGAATATTGTTTTAATATGGCTTATCATTGCCCTTAGTATTTTTTAAAATTTTCATTTTAATTTCTTTTGAACATTCGAACGCCATTCTTGCTTGACTTTATTATGGCATTTTACACTAATAATGAACAGAATCGCTGGAATTACGTCGGTTTATGATACAATTAGTGGTAAAAACTACCATTTACATTTATAGCACCGCCATGGCTGGGATTTGTTGAATTTTAAAGTGTAGTTTAATCCGTAAAACGGTATTCGTTCCATTTCAATTACAAAAGAATGACTCTCGGCTTTTACTTCCTTTATTAAAGTTTTATCGAACGAGATTAGAGTCGTCGGTGTTTTATAGGTGTATGACACGTACGATAAATTTTATAAATCCAATATATCCATGCACTATTTTTGTATTTTAAAATCTCACTTGTCTCACTATTTCCATGCATTAACTCAGAATGAGTTTCTAAATAAATAAATGTAAATTACATTTTTGGTGTATATTATACCGTAATTCAGTCACCATATTTTCAAATTGCAGAAGAAGATACTTATTTTTATACACTTATTATTATGCTGCCTATCTAAGTACTCAGGGGGGCGTGGAAATGTCATTAATGTCATTAAATTTAATTAATCCATTTGGCCAAAATTATGTGCGCCTCGCCGTCGCCCTTCTTTTGTAATTATGAAAAATTGCCGAGAAAATGCGCATAAAAAGCTTTACATGTCGACGTGCAATAGAAGAAAACTAGGCCACATTTATATATTCTAGAATCTAGCCCATTGAAATACAAATTCACTTGACACTCAAAAGTTACAGTGTAATATAAAAGCAGGAGGACGCGCCACGATAAGAATTATTATCTGGTTGCTGCATTGTTGAGACGTCGTTTGGAGAAATGTAGAGTTGTTTAAAAAATGGTTCGGACAACAAAATCGTGAAATTTACATGCTGTATTGTTGGTGTTAGATATGAGCATGGAGCTCGTAAACGAAAACATAGCACTATAAATAAAAAAAATCTAAAATTTGTATAGTTCATTTCATATAATTTTTATTATTACCATTAATGATTAATAATCGATTTGAACGGGTTATTTTAAAATTAATATCATAATATTCATTTTCTAATAGACATAAACAAACTCATTTATCATCGAAATATAAAACAAAATAAACGCTGCATTATATTTCATTTTTCGTACTTGAATTAAATCGCGGCGTTTTAAAACAAACATTGAAATTACTCGACGGGCATATCGGGCATTCAATTTGATTGGAAATGTTTATGAATTTTAAAAATCGCATAAAACCGTTAAAAATATATCTACTAATCTATAAATCCAGTATTGACATCCACCGAAAAATAATCTGGTTCTGCACTATTGAAAAGAAGATTTTTATTTTCAAAATACCATTATAGGATTATTTTCGATGGTCACAGTACCTAATCAAGAAATGGCCTATGTTTTAACACAACTGAGATGTTAGCGTTTTCTCACACATGCGCCGGAAAAACCACCCTTAAAATCGGCTTCGGTTCTCATAGCACCCGTTCAGTCGAACACCAACGCTTGAGCAATTGAACCGCGAATCGGCTTTCCTCGTCGCTTCTAGGCTGCTCTCGACGCGCTGAATTTAAACGATTTTTCGGAGTACTGAACTCAGTTAATAATTCTATCGTAAAAAATTGGTTATTACATAGATTGTGTGATATCAATAATAGAGATTTGTGGTAATTTATGTAGATACATTAAGAATACTTATCGAATTTTTTATTTAACTTAATATTTTTGGATTATTATTTTTTTACAACCCTAGTAATTTTTTATATTAATAATTAAACATAACAAAATTCAAATTTATTAACATTTCGTGTTTTAACCAATTTTTTAACGATAACAATTTTTCTTTGCAGTGGTACTTTGAACTATTAACTTTCTAATGATTACTTAAAAAGGCCATTTGACACATTTAGCTTTAGTTAAAATGTGTTTTGTAACAACTACGAGTGACTGTTCTCGGTTAACGAAAAATGTGGATTCTTGTAGTTTCATAGAAAAATGTGGATACTGAGATATTTGAAATGCAGTGGTTTTACATTTTTGGGATAATTTCAGCTGTGAATGCCGGTAGGGAAGCATATGAAAGACTAGGTAAGGATGAAAATAAATTACTCAAATACTCCTTGAAAATTTAATCCTTTTCTAAATGTATGTTATTTTATTGTAACGTTTGTAAATATTTTTCGTTCCAATTTTAAAATTCGATAATGCTTACGTGTGATTACAGAAACTGCTTTAATAAAGTTATTATTGAATGCCTGCAACTAACTTCGGACAGTATTTATATGGACAGTATAAATATAAACGTATTCTCTATGACAATTATTTGCGAATATTCGATGGTAATTAGATTGGAAAATTCAGTAATATATTTAATTAATAACAGAAATGTAAATACCTTTTACAATGGACCGGTTGTTATAAATAATTCGGTTTGTAATAAGTTACAATTTCAATTCAATTTGAATTAATGAAGAATGAAATGGATTTGTTTCATATTATTGGATACGAGTCAGTAAAATGGTCTAAAAAAATCGCTTGATATAATCTAAAAAGCAAAGTCATGTTTTGTACATGATTTATACAATTTTCCCCACACTTATAGTAGAAACATTTTTGGCCATTTTTCCGATTAAAAAATACAGAATGGTCTATAGTTTACGTAACTGCATAATAAGGACTTATTTATGTAAACTGCCTCTTTTTTCGCACCTTTTTTTCTGTGATTTATCGATCTGAAATATCCTCGGAGACTAAAATATACATAAATAATCCCTAAGGGTACGTCGTTTTCGTGTCACCGTTTTTCTGCACATACGTTATTTGTAACAACTTTTTCGTCGCTTTCACCTTTTTAGGCAAACAGGCTCCTGATCTTGACGGGGAATCTATCAATCAAGATCAAAGCCCGATATGGGCCTGCTCTCCAACGAATATTCATCAACACATTTTAGTAAATTCCGGTTTTTGGAATCCAGAGTGGGAAAAGTTCATTTCCATCAATCAGAGGAGTGACAATTTATGTTTAGTAAATTATGAATTAAGTGGATTACGAATACAACCAAGTTTGAACGATACTAGTTTAATAAAGTGATTTGTGTATACAATATACTATACTCAAGAGTGGAAATGTATGTAATTAATTTCTCTAACGCTAAATAAATTTGTATAATTATTCTAACTGGGGTAAACATATTTAAATAACCTAAAACCAATAACGGGTAGACAAAAGAAGAATACAAGTTTTTTAATAAATACTTAAAAGTTTTGAAGAAGCTGCGGCTAATTCACTTTTTAATTTCAACTTTTCGCTGAAACAACTTCAGTTTTGACGTGCAGATTTCTCTAAAGACTTTCCGCAAAAAGTTCCACTTGGCGTAAAATGGCTTAAGTAAATCGAAATTTTTAAAACAAGTTGGTGCATTTTTAGGTGTCTTTTCGGAACAAGAAGGAATAGTTAATAAATTGAAATCTTTTAGGTGTGATGTTCATATCGTGTTGTTGCAAAAAATATATTTTCTCCACATATCACAATGAACATTTTTAGCTAATTATTTAGAATTTTTATTACGCATTTACATCCATTTCATGCATATCATGAAATTCTTTGTTTTTTTTTTCGAAAACCAAAATCCATTGTATGCAAATATTCGCGGAAAAATTTCACGAGAATGCCTTTAAAAAAATTTAATACTAAAATATGAGTGTATAAAATACAATTTTTTTTTCAATATAACAGTCACATGACAATTTAATAAAATTTTTCAGAACAAAGCAAGCAAAAACATTTGTCTACTTTAATTAGAACATGGCGTAAAAGGGAACCCTTTTTTTATTTGCCGCATTTCCCAAGTCAACTGTCTCTATACAGGGAATTTTCGCGAGTTTTCTCTCCTTTTCGGGTCAGTTTAATTCGACTTCTGAAATGATATAGTGCAACCCCGGAGTGATATAACAAGCGGAAAACTTTTTTTATTGTCAATTTTCTTAAAAAGTCTTATACTCGGAAAAGTTTTTGTTTCCCATGAGGGTAACTCCGGCGTTCCGCCGAGTAGGCAGACTGCGTTAAAGTTTTTAAATTCCTTCCAATGTTAATCACGTCACAAAATAGAACGATTGGTTTGCAACGGAGTCCCTATAATTTATATCCATATTTTTACTAACATATACAATGTTTGAAAAGCTAACCCAAATGAAAAGTATTACACGACTGTACCCTTCGAGTTTATTAATTCCACAATTTTATTTTTTGTTTTTATTATTCTGTTGACCCTTTCGTTAGCTACATTAAAGGCTCGTTTGTTCGTCTGAATTCCAACGATCCAGTGCTTTTGCATCAAAAGAGCATTAATCAGAAAAACCAATAAGAGTTGAACCGGAAGAAAAATCGCTCGGGAACACAGGTTTATATTCTCTACGCGAAGCGGCATGTGTGGGATTGCGGAATTTTTGCTTAATCGATACTCTTTCGAAACGACACTTATAAGATTTTACTCCAACGTAAGGAATTGCTTAATTATAAAATGAACTTTAAAGAAGATATATCGTCGAGGAGCGTAATATTAATAAGGAAATATCTGTTGCATTTTCAAGGATTTTATAAGCGGAAAAATGGGAACATAGTAGCTGCAGATGAATTGATTAATGGTTGGCAATCCATTAGAGATTTTACTAAGGATTGAAAAAGAGAAATTGCCGCAAGGAAAGATAGTAGTAAGTTTGAAGATTGATGGGGTATTACTGTTTTGGATTGCGTAAATGTATTTTTTTATAGAACAAAATCCATACAATATGTAGTTACAATTTACTAAAGTGTACTTTACATTACCACAGAGAACTAACAGTTGCTCTACCTGTCACTTTTTTATCCCTCAATACATAAGTTTGTTTGGCTAACAAAAAAATGATTTATTGGCGACATTTTTTTATTGACTTTTTTCTCGGTGCAAACGAACGCGTTTTTCTCCCGACAGGAAAAGTCAATAAAAACAAGAATTTTACCATCGAAGATAAAAATTTATGAGCAACTTTACGGTTACTGTTTATTATCTTGTTCTAATTAAATGAACGTGGACACTTTGTCACGCTACCCACGAAAATAAACTACTCTCGAAAAAAACTAATTTCCACTCTTTTAATGTTCAAGCGGAACGAAGGGTATTCACCCTTTGATTCGTTAACTACGGATTAGTGTAATTTCTTTTATATTAATTACAATAATCCTAATGGATGTAATCACTAATTTTTACATAATCGCCTTTTGATTTCATTAGCATATCTTATAAGTATAGTATAGAGGTTTTCTAACAAATTTATTTAAAAACAAATAATAAAATAAATATAGGTACATTAGTTGCTAAGTACTCCTTTACAACTACATATTCAACGCTGAACTTGGGGAAAGGCAAACAAGAATATTTCTGAGCTAAACACAGAATTATTCTTACTGCAACAATTTAACAGATTGTTCATATACTTTTGATGTTGATTCCATAAACTCCCCTATGGGATTATGGGTGACTAAACGCATAACTATCAGTTACTTCGGTCAGGGTCCGACCCTGACCGCTGAGACTAACAAATAGCCCGCAATTAATTGAGTTCCTAGCTAAAGATTTCCTGAACTTGTTACGCACGGCTTAAAATACTTTCGTTCATTAAAGGAGAAATTTATAGGCAAGATAGGGACTACCTTCCATGAGGTACGAAATGAATCTCTAGGCGCTTTATTAACTTGTTCCGGAAGCGATTACCGTTAGGGAGACCCGAATTTCTATTTGATTAAAAATTTTTGTCGACGCCCCAAAGAGCTACTAATACGTTGACGAAATTGATATTTTGGAAATGAGACTCTCTTGATTAAATTGTTTTATAAATATATCGAGGTTAATTGCTCCTTGAGGCGCATTTCTAAAAATGTTTTGAATTTTTAAGCGCTTTATGGATGTTCAAATTATTTGAAAAGTTTTTACACCAACGCGATATATTGGATTTGTTCAAGTGCTTACGAAAGTGAACTTAATTTTTTGTATTTTTATACATATTTCGAATTATTAAAATCATAAAATTTAATGAAGGAAACTTCCGAAATGACTTATTAAAAAGTTGGTGGAACAAACTTTCAATAAAACAAGCAAATCGTGTTATTACAAAAACTTTGTCTATTTTACTCCCCTTGAAACTTCTTCCATTTTAACTAGCGTATAATTTTCTCGTAACGCAACACTTTATTATAGTGTTTAGAGCATTGAAGGTTGTTTGAACTATCCCCATATCTTACAATTTCGAACTTTGAACTGGTAATACGGCATGATTATCGACCCACCAATAAGATATATCGCGATAATCGGTTCGAACCAACCAGTAATTCCATAATTTCAGGCTCGGCCATAAATATTGCCGCCTTGTTGGTGCGGAAACACCACAAAACGAAAACTAGGTTAGGGAGTAAACGGTAGTTGTATATAATTTAGCGCCTCCACCCTCGTCATCTTTTCAGGACCGGTTTAGCTCCAACGCTAAAAAATATACCTATGCATCCTCAAAAATATACTATTTGTAGTTGACTTGTAGTAGACATTTTTAAAATATTAACATTATTAGTAATTCAGTAATATTCGTGATTCGTTTTAATAACACCAAGTAGTTCCATCAAAGGTAAACCTATTAGATATTCTTGTATGTATAACCATATGAAGTTGTTGTCATTACTTTAGATCGATTTGGCCGGAACAGACTTTGTTTTGTATGAATAATTTGGTTGATTTTATTGGCAATCGGTTAATTTTTAATCGGATTTCGGGCCGTTACTGCACAACTATTCCAGTTAGCCGATGAAACTGGCTTCGAATAATGCATTAGAATGTCTATGCATTAATTTATGGATCGTAGTTTCCGAAGAAACCCAGTTCGTGCGCGAAGTCTCTTCGATTAAAATCGCTCCGTACTAACGCCAATGATACGATCTGCTGAGCCAGAATGGAATTGTTGTGGAATAACAGTGTTTCCTGCGCCCGAACCTTGTAAATGCAATCCGTTGTTGCAGAATAGTTGGGATTGTTCCATCGAATACTGAAGCAGTTTTTTCGATT